TAATATCAGTCCCATAAGGGAGGTGACCTCCACCCCATCCCATAGGATTCTGTACCCTGCACAGCTCACACCTGGAGAAGCTGGCCTATGCATGACCAGTTTCCCACCCATCACCAGAGCAGTAGCCTTTGACTTTCTCTGAGGCCAAGTAAATAAAGGGTGGCAAGAGGACAGGAGTTTTACCCCTGGTGGAGTTCCTTGCACGCTGAGGTAATAGGTCGGGTTTCGAAAGGTTTCCAGATTTAAGATGGGTCTTTCCAGGTCCTGAGCAGGAGGGACTGAGAGGCTTCAGGCCAACTCTTAGATGCAGCTTCTCTCCACACCACTGTGGCCCTACCCTGGTCTCATGGCTCCACTGGCCACCCTCCTGTTTGACCCCCGCTCGGGTGGCTCCAACTTCTGTACTCTGGTACCTCGGTCCTGACTTGCCCACATGTGGTAGTGCATCTCTGTGCCCTAAGATCCTCCCCTGCTCCCGCTAAATGGTTCCTCAGCACCTGCCCCCCTGCAGTGAGCTGGTCCACCTCCAGGTGCAGCAGCCCCCACCGCTGGGCATCTCCCCACTGTGTAATGGGTCAGGCCAGAGACATGATGGCACCCTAAGCTGAGCTAGAAAGCGCTGACCGCAGGGAAGGAAGGAAGCAGGAGGCGGGACATGTGCCAGCACTTCACTCCTTGGGCTCCAGGACGTCCTCTGTCCACTTGGGAAAAAGGGGTAAGTCTTGCCTACGGGGGGCAGGGAACTCTTACTCCCAGGGCGGGGTGTTGACAGAAGCTGCCGGAACATGGTTCTGACCTATATACAGCCCCACCCTTGACGACAGACACAGATGCATTCATGGACTGTTCCAGGAGATGAATCCGGGAAACTGCCTACTATGAAGAGATTCATATAGTGGCAAGGGGATGAATATTGTAAACACTCTCCATTCTGAATAATAGATGAATAGAGTTTTGGGTTATCAACCATTTTGAAGAAAAGCGAAGGCGATTACTGCTGGCTTTGGCCTGACGGTTGGAGCCCAGAGAATGTATCAGACTTACACAACTTCCTTTCCAAGTACTTGGGGAAAAGGGACCAAGGTGTAGGCACCAGAGCTGAGCCTCATTAAATTAACCCCCTAGGGAGTGCCGGAGACATGTCTATGCATGCTGCTGCTAAGCCAATGAATGGAGCCTCCTCACCCTCAGCCAGGTCCCCAAACCAGGAGAGATGATGTCCAGTCTGGGGCTGGGAACCTGCAGGCCATGGGAGATGCAGGACAGAGGTGCAAGGGCATCTGCTGAAGGAACCCAGAGAAGACCGGCTGGAGAAGGGGACAAGTGCAGCGCCCCCAGACTTCCCAGGCGGAGAGCTGTGACCTCCGTCCAGACAGCAAGCACTCTATCCAGCTCCATGACAGAGGATATCTGAGGATGGGTCCCTGGACACTGACTGTGAGATGGAGATTAGCTCTTCCCGTGGTGATGGGCGTGCACTCAGTTCAACAGGTCTGGAGGGGAAGCAGCAGCCTTGGTCAGAGGGAGCAGGTGGGGAATAGTCTCCACGAAGGCTCAGTGGACCACATGGAGAGAGTTCTGAAGTTGGAATGGCCTTTTGGGTTGTCCCGAGTTGGGGTGAGGGACGAGGCCTCTGGACCCTGGCCAGTCACTGGATGTATGCTGTGCCCAGACAGGAGGGTGTGCTCATGGGTGAGGAAGCTCTCTTCACAGGGGCAATTCCTGAAGAGGACTGATAACTGAGGGCTATGAGCCAGCAATACCCCCGGTGGCCAGAGGCAGGAGCCCTGCAGCTGGGTTGCTTATCGTGCTGTCCGCCAGCTCGCATGCTATGCAGAGCACTTCTTTGTACATGTTCTAGGGGAAAGCGACAGTGGGATAAATCGGTCCCCACCACCGCAGCTGGTCTTGAGGCCCCAGCTGACACTCATCGTCTGACTTCTACTACCTGTTCTAGGTTCTAACCTTTGGGCAGCATTTCTGCTTTTCGGGCCACAGCTGCCACACTTGTCCGAGCAAGGGTGTAAGAGAGATCCCAGAGGCATCGTCTGGGAGCCAAATAGCTCCCTGTCTGCTCCAAGAGAACTGCAGCCCTGGCTCTCCTGATGACCAGGGCCAATCACTGCAGCCAGGACGGTGCCTCCTGCTTCTCGCCTACTGGGCCTTTGCCATGAAGGGCTCGAAGTGCCTGGTGGCAAGTGTAAAGTGTAAAGCGGTCATGTGCCACTGACACGCCTCCTTTGCTTTGCAAGGGGTCCTTTGGTCTGATGTGACATTATGTGGGATCTCATGTCACTGGGTCACACAAGAAACACTCGAGATAGTGGTGCTAAGGCCCTACAGGCAGAAATGGCAAATCATACCCAGAATGTGACAATCGCAGTCAAAATAAATTGCTGCCATTTCCAACGTAGTCAGCTTGTCATCAAGTGGCTGGTTGCTCTCCTGGAGGAAGACTGCCATTTTGGGGGCTCGGCATGGAATTCATTGCTGGCAGGTTGGACACCCAGCAGTGCCAATAGCCATATCAGCCTTTGTGAGTGGAGCCTATACTCTTTGGTACATGTATGGCTCCCTTCTTGCTCCATGGCTACCCCATTCACATGCCCATCGTGCCAGTGCTGAGGTGGCCAATGGCGTCTGGCTGACATCAGCTGGTCATTCTCTGCTTGGTGGCTCAGTGTCTTTCATGTAGTTGCTCTCTGGTGGACATCCGCACACTCCCTGTCTACCCACACAGCTTGTCCACATGCCTCTATCCCAGACCTCCTTGTCCTTGATCTTCTAATCTCTCACCTCTCAGGCTCCGAGCAACCAGCTAAGTCAACTGCTAGTGCCATGAGTCCGTGTGTATTTTACCCTTGGCTCTATTTCTGTCCACACCACGTAAATGACCAGGGGCACCACTCAGAGGGATTATCCACTAAGTGGGGCTATAGTGCAGCTACCACTCATTTTTGGCTTGTACCTACACACCATTCTGACTTACTGACAAATCGAGCTTTGCTTTTTCCCCTCCTTTGTCGGCTGGTCATAAAGGGACCCTGTCCCCTATGCAGCCATAGGTGTGACTATGCAGCCATAGGTGTGAGCTCAGGGAGAGGCATCAATGCAAAATGGTAGGTAACATGGATTTCTAGGCCGTCTGTTTGTGTAGCTTACCTGTGGCCCTGGCCCTGCTCATGCCCAATTCTGGATGCACCACTTGTGTTCTTACTGTGGATTGTTGCTGGGACTGTTCAACCTTATGTTTTGATAATCTGATAGGCAGAACCTACTTATACAAAATGAGCTCAAGATAAAGAATTTAGGATCAAATTAAAAATATAAAAAGGGAATTAAATTTTTCAACTGTTCTGGGATACACAAGCAAAAAGTTTGTTGATGATGGTTTTGAAGGGAGGATAGGCTAGAGTACAGTTAGAACCTGAACAAAAATGTCACAGAGAGAATGGTATAGAAAAAATTGATTTTTAAGATTCTAAAGGGGAAGAATCTATAGGTACAGAAATGGAGACAGTGAGCACATTAATGCTTTCCTTTTAAAAACAAAATCATAGCTGTGAAAGGAAGGAGAAGGGGGTGGTATCTGGAAAGAGGAAGAGTAAAAGGCTTTTTTTCCCCCCAAGCCTTTCGAAGATGGACTTGGCTGTGTTTATGCACCGAGGGGCAAAGAGGCAGTAGAGATGGAGCAAAATGGGGAGATTACAGGGGTGCTTGGCTGCAATTCCTGAGAACTCAGTTTGATAAAAAACAAGCAACAACAACAACAAAAAACAGAAACAAAACAGGAAAATCAAGCAGAAGTGTTAAGCTCCTTTTAATCAAGAAAAGCAAATAACTAGGAAAGTTCAACCTCCCTGCCCACTGTCCCCTCCTGGTCATCTCACCATCACTGAGAAAAGCCTGGTTCAAGAAAGCATCAAATACCATTTTGTTATATACCCATTTCTCTCTATCTGCTTTCAAGGGAAAATAAACATCAACAGCAATCCCCAGAGTAAAATCACCGTCTAGATAGGATAGATCTAAATTTCACCTCCCAGTAAAGCATGATTTTCTTTTTCTTTTAAGAACACCTGAACTTGCTCGAGTAGCTACAGCAAAATTCCTAATGCACTGCTGTGGCATAAGCACAGCCCCTTTCCTATCAAGACGTCCTAATACAATATATTTTTTTTTCTTATTTGTCAGTAAAGTACTTAACATAAGTGTAAAAATTTTAGTGGAAGGTTTTCCCATTGGACATCCAGCAGCTTCATTTTCTTGAGGCTGGGGGCAGAATAGTCACTGGATGCCCTTCGAGATCACTTAGCCAGGGTGTATATGGGTGCTGCAAAGTCGGTGTTAGGAAACCTGTTTACCTATTCACGCTGGTACCTCTGGGTCACAGGAGGGGCGGCTACTCCCGACCTGGGGCATGTGCCTCAAATAACTACAAAATGCTACCACATTTTCAGACTGCAACGGGCCACCTGCACACGTGGCTCTCCGGAGTGTCCTGAGATGTAAGGCCGTCCCCGTAGGTGCGCTCTCACGTCGCAGGGTTCGCGGAGAGAAGACAAGTGGGCAGACTAACCCTGGGGACCGTGTCAGTGCCCCAGGTATTTATTAATATTAAAGGCGCTTCCGGGACAGCCAGCCGAGGTAGAGGAAGGTGTGGTGGCAGCTATCACTAGGCCTCAGTAGGGTCTCCATTCGTCAAAAGTCTACAGCGTTGTCCCCCCACCTGGATACCCCCAGTGCCCCGCAGAGGCAGTGGCGATGCCCCATCCCACCCTAGGCTCAAAGTACGAATGAGGCCACAGTCTCCCGCCCATGAGAACCAAGCACCTCGCGGGACTCCTAAGGCGCCCGGCCACGCCCGTTCCTCCGCGGGTCGAGAGCCGGCGGCCCGAAGATGGCGGCGGGGGCGGGGGCGGTGGGGCCCGACGGTCACTCCCAGGGCGCCCTTGACTGCCTTTCTCCGCCGCGCTACGTACCTTGCTAGCTAGAGGCCCGGCGCGTGCGCGAAGGGGCGGGGATAAGCACTTGGCGGGGCCAACCAACAGCGAGGAATCGAGGCGGCGCCCAATCAGGGCCCAGGCGGCGGCGACCGGAGTAGGCTGCGGGCGGGCAGCGTGTGTGGCGGACGCCGAACACCCGGGGCCGAACACCCGGGACCGAACCGCCCGCCTCGCTGCTTCCTGCGCGCTTCGGTCCACGCCGCGGTCCACACGCAGGAGGCTGGTGCCCGCCGCCCTCCAGGCTCGCAGCCCGGGCCCGGGAGCGTCTCTTGCAGCGGGCCTAGGCTACCTCCTCAAAGGGGACACCTCCCAGGCGGTTGCGGCGGAGAGACATGGCGGGGTCGGCGCCGGCCAACTAGGAGTCGCTGGAGGCCGCGGCGCCTTCCCAGGGTCGTTCCTACGCCCTGGGCGCGCGGCGGGCGACATGTTCCAGCGGAGGCTGGCGGGCGCAGTGGCGGCGGCGGCGGCGCGCGCGGGGCTGCGGGGCGGGGGCCTACTGGCCCTGCTGGCCAATCAGTGCCGCTTCGTCACGGGCCTGCGCGTGCGGCGAGCGCAGCAGATCGCGCAGCTCTACGGCCGCCTCTACTCGGACAACGCGCGCCGCGTCCTCCTCGGCCGCCTGTGGCGCCGGCTGCGCGGCCGCGCGGGCCATGCCTCGGGCGTGATGGCGGCGCTCGCCGGCGTCTTCGTGTGGGACGAGGAGCGAATCCAGGAGGAGGAGCTACAGAGGTGGGCGCGGGAGCGCGCGTTCACGAGTGGCGTGGGTGGGACCTGGGGTCGCACCAGGTGGTCCTGGGAGCGGCGGTGCGGTAGCTGGATCCTGTTTCAGCAAGACGCGTTATTTTATTTTTTATGGCTTCTGTGTGTTTGATTTGTCGGGGCTTGAAACAGCTGGACGTGTAGGTTAGTGCAGGGAGGAGGCTTCGAATAGGGAGTAGGACTCTAAGGAAACATTGTAAAAAGTAAAAGCTACTGAAGGCGTGTCCTCATCTTTAAGACAGCCAGGAAGGTGCAAATTCAAGACGTGTTTTGAACTTGACCTAAGGGGATAGTCGTGCAGTTTACTTCATTCCAGATGGGACTTGGTCGGACCTGCCAGGAGAGGAGCGCTCTCTCGTGACTCTGGTGGCAGAATGATGAGGCTGGAAGGGATTTTGTCCTCCTGACAAACCGATAGCCCAGACACTTTAACCTGTAAGAATTAGGTCAGTGTTTTGCTACTATGGGACTTTGAGAGTACTGTTGCATTACTCTCTGAAATCTTGCTGTCATCATCAAAACTTGTGCATGAAAAGTGCAGTACCATTGATTGAATTTATTTGTGGTTCGAAATTTGAGCCGTTAACAGTTTTCAAGTAATCTCACGAGGGAAGCTTTGCTTTAGTTCTTGAATTTTCTCTGTATTTTCTTTTTAATAGATGTTTTTAAACTGCACTCTCTCTCCCCACCCCCCCAACTCTGAAACTGATTTTAGAAACCTAAGACTGCCCTCTCCCTGGATAAATCCCACACAAGTCTATTTATTCCAGATATTTCTTCTGTTGTTTCACATTTTTGGTTCAGTTAAAAATGGAAACACTTCAGTAAAGTTAACACTGTGACTGGAGGTGTAGCAAGCACCCAGATGCCAGGCAGCTACTTGTGCAACACTGAGTTGTGGGTAAATGCAAGCTTATCTGAAGAACTAGTAATACTTTTCCTAACAGGACAGGTGACTGTTTTACAAATGCCATTTGAAATCATAACCATAGATAACCTTATTCACAAAAAAGTTAAGCTAGCACAGTCTAGTTTCTGATATTCTTTTGCTACTTGTCCATTTGTTCTAATGAAATAGTCTCAGAAATAAAAATATTCAGGGGAAGAAAACTTTTAAATTGAAAAATTCATCAATTAACTGTTTGAATTTTTATTCTGCTTTTGATGATGAAATATCCATGTTCCACAGTGGTGAGGTCTGAGAGGAATTCCCAGTTGGACCTGTTTGGGGAAGAGGAGAAAGATCAGATAAGGGCTGCTGGGCCCCAAATGGTGGTGGGAGCTGAATGGTGTTGTGGCAGATGACTCTTTGGCCAACTTTATGCATTTTTGTGGACACGTGTCTTGGAGCCTCTGTTTAGTAGGTCTCCTATTTGCAGGAGTTAGAGGGGAAAACAAGTTAGAAAGTGAAAGCGGTAAACATCTGAGTAACATCTGAGTCGACTGTAGCCACGATCCACTGAGGCAGGGAGGTCATACCTGTTGATGACCGGGCCCAGGATTCTTTTCACTTCCCTCCCTTTACTTGTCTCTCACAACCCGGAGGCATTTGAAACACTTTTGGTTCTAATCCAACCCCTAAAGGGATAGCGCTCTGAGTTAACCGGCTTGGGACTTTCAGAAGCTTAGATAAAGGCCATCAGAACACTTAAGGTGGCTTTTTTGACCCTCTCCAGGGTTATAGTAAAAGCTGTCATTTAACATTTCACTGTTCTGTTCAAGCTTGAATTCAGTCATAGACTTAAAATTTGATCAAGTTTTCCATTTTGAGGATTTTAAAATGTTATCTCAATAAGGAGGCAAATAATATGCTATTCAACTACCTTGGTTGTGCGGTAGTTCCATAGGTCTTCGTTCTGATAGTTCATCATGTTTATATTTTATTGAATAAAATATTCTTGGTCCAGATGAACTTTTTTGCTTAAGCGTTTAAGTATTCTGTTAGCTTTAACGGAGGGACTGCTGAGGTTGTCATAGCTAGCTTAGAATGTCTTGGATTTTGTTTGTTCTGGTGAGATGGTTTTGGGTAGCTTCCATAATGGAGCACAGTTCAGTGTGCCTGGGGACAAGTGCATTTCTTTCATCGTTAATGGAAGAAGAGCATAATTGTTCCATGAGCCCTAAATCACAGCCTTTGGCTCTTCTGTGCTGTTGCTGTACCAACTTGTCCTGGTACAAGCTAATTTTGCTATTGCTGTCTCTGCTAAGCAGTGATGGGGTGTGTAAAGGATGTCTCTTTGCATGTGTGCTTTAAAGTGGTGTGTGTTTTTTCTTATGATATTCATAATGAAATATTTGTCTATTCAGAAAATATTATGTCTATTCAGAATGAAAAAGAACCTTGCTTTTTATTCTCGTGCTTCAGAACATCTTAATAAATAGGATCTCATTAATCTAGCAACAGGAAGAACATCTGAGAAAAGAAGGGAGCCAGGTGTAGAAATTAGGTCTTTTATTGCTTGGTCAGGTATTCTTACCCAATTGGCTTCAATTAAACAAAAAAGGTAAACTTTCAGCTGGCATCCTGTGAGCGAAGGGCAAACCTTACGGAAAGACGCATTAGTAATATTTGATTGCTTTGGAACATAAGGAAAATTTACAGAAACAGAAAGAGGAAGGAAGTTAAGAAATATGAAAGGCTAGGAAAAAATGTTCCATCAACCTCCCTGTTTTTTAAAAGTTAAGTTCATTGCTCTAGAAATTTGAGTAAATAAGTGCCAAGCAAGTCTCATTGGCTGTTCTCCCATTTCCGTCTTCCAGGGCATCCAGAATGCTTTTAACCTTTCAGTATGCTGTTAACTTGATAACCTGGTCAATAAAAAGCCCTTTTGGCTTAAAAGAACTTTTTTTTTAACCACTGTCACTTGTGGGTATTTTGCTGATGTACCCTTCTTAGATCCTCAGAACTAACTATATAACAGCAGACTTGAATTTTTTGAGATCGTCTTCGCTATTTTCCATTAACCAGCTGAGATTATTTTCATTATTTTTCATTAACCAGCTGGCCCAGAATTGCAGTGAGCTAGTTGATGTCTTTTATTTCTAGGTGTGTCCCATAACAGTTGTCCTTGAAAGTCTCTAACTTTGACAGTAGTTTGGAATTTGAGGAGGGGAGTCTGTGAAATGAGTCAGTTGTCTTGCTGAAATTGCTAATTATGGGGATGGCTTTCTTTGAATCATTTTGGAGCCTTATGCCAGGCTCTGCACTGAGGCAGCACCCCGTAGATGAGCCAAATGTGCTTATACTTACTCTGTCTTCATGGGTTTATGTCTTCAGTTTCCATAGCTCAGTCCCGCCTTTCTCAAATATTGAAATGACTCTCGTTTTAGAGGAAGAGGAGCATTGGCTGTCGTTCCCTGATCCTCTTATCAATCTGCTCGTTCTGTTACTATTTGGAGAATAATCTTTTTTGTCCTTCTTTTCTCCCCTACTGCTTGTTTAAGTCTCTTGGATAAGAAGGTTTGGACACCCATCCGGCCCAAATGAGATTTGGCACAAATCTTGTGAAGACGCGGTGAGAGGTTTCCCATTCCTCCATCGCAGCAGAGTGACTAGCTTTGTGCACCTGCATGCTCATTACGTCTGTCATGCCAGCATTTCACAGTTGAGGCCCTTCTGAGATTTTTGAACCTGAGGACAACAGTCATTTACGTTTTCATGAGGCGATCTTGCTCCAGCATTCATGTCGTTTCTTCACAAGACATTTCTTACCCCCTTAGGAACTTAATCTCATAATTTTAACCAAGGCCACCTAGTGTCCTTTAATTATGCATGAGAGGCAGATTAAACAATGGATCAGAGGCTCTGTACCACGAGGAGTCTTAGGCCGTTAAAAATATTGCTTATAGTTGTATACTTTAATTTTCTTAAAACCTTATTCCTGTGTAATTTAATGAGCCTTTGATGTGTTTTCACATATTCTTGCCTTTCTTCATTACGTCATAAGAATGATATTTGAAAATGATGCCTATTTTTAATTAAAGGATGTTTTACTAGTCCTGAAAGGTGCCATAATGGGCGCTGTGTAATGCCTGACTTGTTCTGCCAGCAAATACAACTGTGGTTTTACTTTGCTTTCTCTGGAAGATCTCATTGCCTAAAGTTCCTTCCCTGTTTTATATGTGTTTGCAGTGGTAGCGGTCAATCCTATTTTGCAACTTTTAATTCAAATTAAAACTTTCTTAATGGTTAAATCTTTCTCATCAGAACATCAGTGTAATTTGTACTGGCTAGAGTTCTGGTTGCAAACAAACTGATATTGGTTAACTTAAGCCAAAAAGGAATTAATCAGAAAGGTGTTAGGTCACTTAGAACAAGGACTAGAAGGCCAGAGTACAGGCTGGCCAAGAGAGCAACTGAGACCAGCCCAGGGGTGGTAATCTTAGGGCCGTGTTGTTGCTGGTTTGTTCCCTCTGGATCGTTTGCACTGCCCACTCTGAGCTCCGTCAGGATCGCTGAATAGTCTCCGGAAGGCCCTGTGCCTCCTATTGCTTCCTCAGAATTCAAAGCCTCGACTGGAAGGCTCTGATTAACCTTGCTTAAATAAATGAGCAGTTGTGCTCTGGCTGAGAAGGAGGCTGCATCCCACCTGTTTTGGTATTCTCCCCAGAAGAAAAAAGATTTCAGGCAGTCAGAACAACAAATGTCTCCCTATGGAAATATTTTCATCTAAGTCCAAAGTTTAAAATTCAGACAATAGAATTTTAGAACTAATAGAAACCTTCAAGAAATAATGTCCTCACTCTACAAGTGAGAACAGGAAGGGGCTTTCCGGTAAAATGACTTGCATGAGATCACACAGCTAGTTGGTGGAGCCAGGACTAAAACATGATCTCTTCACTCACCGTCGCTTTGTATTGTTCTAAACTTTTAATCGTGGGTTGCCAGTATACTTTGAATTTTTTGTTTTTAAAGTAATGTAATAATGTAATCTTTTAATAGCAATTTGAACTGTTGAGGCCTACTTCTATATTTATTTATTTAATTTATTCAGTAAACATTTGTCGAATGGCTGATGATTACCAGGCACTTGCTGGTAGCTTGGAATAAAATATGAAAAAGACAGATTCTGGGGCATTAGGGAATTATAATTTATTAAGGAAGGCAGATATAAAGATAGATTAATTATAATATATGTTTCTATAGAGGAATAAAAGTAAATGTATATGGTTAACTCTGCCTAGAAGTTAACCTTGAACCTTGTATTTTTTTGAAGGTTGAAGAGACGTGAAAGGGGATTACAGACACAGTGTATCAGTGGTTGGTGTCTTCCTTGGTCTTGAATCATGGAAGAGTTGTATATGACATAGATGCCAACAGTCTTTCCCTCCCGTTAGTTAAAGGTTAAGGGTAAAGTAAAAGCCATGTTTAGAAACAATAATTATAAAATGTTTCAGTTATATAAAAAGGTTTAAAGAATAACATGAGTGTTACAAATAGTTATTTTTAAGGATAAAGTATTATAAATAAAGCCTTCTCTGTACCCTTTCCAATCGAAATCTCTCCCCCACAGATTATCTCAATTTGTTGTATTTTATTCCCATCTGTGTTTTTATACATATTAGCATCCTTAAATGATTTTAATGACACATAGTTTGATAATATGGTATTATTTTGAATGTTTTAAACCTTTATGCAGTCCGGGACTAACAAACTGAATCCAGCAACACATAAAAAGGATTATATACTATGAACAAGGGGGATTTATCCCAGAAAAGCAAGTTTAGTTTATCACATAAAAATCAGTTTAGTGCACCACATTAAAAGAATAAAGGACAAAAACCACATGACCATCACAATAGATGCAGAAAAAGCATTTGACAAAATCCAGCCTCCTTTCATGTTTAAAAAAAAACAAAAAAACAAAAAACCTTCAACAAACTAGGAATGGAAGGAAACGTCCTCAGCCCAATAAAGGGCATCTGAGAAACACAGCTCATAGCACGGCGCTGGTGAGAGGCTGGGAGCCCCCCAGATCAGGAACAAGACATGTGTCTGCTCTCACCACTTCTATTCAGCGTTGTACCACAGTTCTTGCCAGGGAAACCAGGCAAGACAAAGAAGTGAGAGGCGCTCAGCGACAGTAGATTAGTGGTTGCCAGGGACTGCGGGGCAGCCAGACAGTGGACATTTCTCCAAAGATACACAAATGGCCAATAAGCACATGAACATAGTTCAACTTCGTTAGTCTTTAAGGAAATACAAATTGAAGACCACATGAGATACCACTTCATACCCGCTACGAGTGCTATAACCTAAAAGATGGACAATAACAAGTGTTGACAAGGATGTGAAGCAGTTGAAACCCTCATACATTGTTGTGGTGACTATAAAATGGTGCAGCTGCTTTGGAAAATAATTTGGCACATCCTCAAAAAGTTAAACATAGAGCGATCATGACCCAGCAAATCCACTCATAGGACTCTACCCCAAATGGGAAACCTACATCCACACAAAAATGGGTACACAAATGTGCACAGCAGCATTGTTCATAACAGCCAAAATGGCAGTAGCCTAAATGCCCATCACCCAATGAATGGATACACAAAACGTGATGTATCCACACCATGGAATATTATTCAGCCATAAGAAAGAAAGAAAGTACAATGTGAATGAACCTTGGAAATAAGTGAAAAAAGCCAGACACGAGAGATTATATATTGTATAATTCCATTTTTATGAACTGCCCAAATAGGCCAGTTGTAGAGACTGCATTAATGGTTGCCAGCAGCTGTGGGGAGGTGGGAATGGGGATGACTGTTGATGGGCACAGGTTTCTTTCGGGGATGACGAACATGTTCTGGAATTAGTGTTGATGTCTGCGCAACCTTGTAACTATACTAAATAGCACTCAATTCTCTGCATAACTTATATACTGTAAGAATCATAAAAGGATGATTCTTACAGTATATAAGTTATACCTCTTTAAAATAGAGGAGGGAAAATATAAATACTTTCTAATGTAATAGGAAGACAACTCAAAAAATGGACAGAAGTTTTCAAATGACCTTTCATAGTCATAAACCTTCATAGTTAACATCCAAGGGCCAGTTGTGTGCCAGGTACTAAGCATGTCACGTATAAGTTTAATTTTCAGTCAACCTTTGAGGTAGGTCCTATTATCCCCATTTATGTAATGGTTACATAATTTCATAGTCTAGTTAATGAATGTTGGAGTGGGACCCACACGCGGAACTCACGTTTTCATTCACTGTACTTTATGCTATTTTAAACCCATGCTGTTCTTGCATGAGTCTTTGTGTGGACATTTCATTTCCCAGCGCTGCCTCCAGCCAGCTGCACCAGGCCTGTTGTTTTCCTCCCTTCCAGGTCCATTGATGAGATGAAACGGTTGGAGGAAATGTCAACTGTGTTTCAGAGCTCTGGAGTTGAACGCCACCCTCCAGAACCAAAATCGCAAACAGAAGGGAATGAAGATTCAGGGGGCAAAGAGCAGCCGTGGGAAATGGTGATGGATAAGAAACACTTTAAGCTGTGGCGGCGCCCCATCGCTGGCACTCACCTTTACCAGTATAGAGGTGAGTCCAGCCTGGCTGCTGCTAAATGTGCCCTGTGCTCCAGACTTGTCTTCCTCATACTCTCTAAATAGTTTCTTTGGTGGTTTCTCAGGAAGCTGCCATGGTTTACTGTTGGTTGTTGTTCCTCTGCCAGATGATAAGAGTCTTGGGTGTCTTTGCTATACTTTGCTATAGGTCGTCTTTGTCCGACTCTGCTGCCCCAGTGTGACTTCTAGCTCCTGAATCTGCCCTTATGATCCGTCGGTACTATAATCAAAATGCAGTTACGTGATAGGAATAAGGCGAGTGATGACGGTGTAGCAGATATCTCTCATTCTTTTTTGTCATTCTAGTCTTTGGAACCTACACAGACGTGACACCTCGGCAGTTCTTCAATGTTCAGGTGAGAAATTTTTTCTTCCCAGATTTGGAGCCTCTAAGCCTAGAAATCCACTTCCCACTGCCCACACGCATAATTTCTGGGACTCAGGCAGTGCTTTGGTACAGCCATCCATCTCCTTACCCCTTATCTCGCATTGAATACGTTTGGGTAAACATTTGATTTTTAATTTCTTTGTCCAGTGGAGACAAAACCAATTCTGCCCTTTATCTCACAGGGCTGTTTAAAGATTAGCTAGAGGTATGGATTTGGATGCTTTCATGTGTTGTATAAGGCTTTACGGTTTTTTCCCCCCTAAACAATGGGAGGATAAGTTAAATACCTGGCCTTTTATTCCAAAAACCTTCAGTATGTATTTCCTAAAACTAGACATACTCTCTTAACTAACTATGGTACCATTATCAAAGTGAGTAAACTTAACGTCAATTCAACACTTACATAACCTTCTGTTTGTATCCTGTTTTATATGTGGATCCTGTTTTATATGTGGATCCTTTGTAGTGTTTTCCCCTCTGCGGGTGGTTGGGATTTAGTAGCCTGGAGCATTTCCACAGTGAGGGTGTTTCAAACTAGGATGAAGAGTCTGTTCAAAGACCACTTTCTCCTTGGGGCAACAAGTGTCTCTCCTAGGGGAGGCAGGTCACCTGGAGTTCTAGTTCTAGGAAAGATTGTTTCCTTCCTGGACTTTTCATTCTTTTTGCTGGATTTTCAGTAACTAATTGATGATTATAAAACCCACTCTAATATGCTAGTGCACACTTTTCTCTAAGCACTGAATTTTGTCTAAAAATTTACATGGAATTTTTGTTGGTTTGGATGTGCGTGATATGTGTCTTATTTTGAAATTCCTTAGTCACCGGTGATGTTAGGAATTTAAATATGCTGCTTGCATTTCTTCGTGTGAGGCATCGGCTCATACTTTTGTACTTTTTGTCTGGTTAAAACTTTTTAGACTTGTTTCATCCTTACAGATTTATATCACTTTCTATTGTATCTTCTTCAGACATAACCATTACAGTATTTTTCCTTACACTGTTCTTTGGTTTGCCTTTTTACTTAAAAAATTTATGATTTTTTAATTTTTATTTTAAAATTTTTTTATGTCTTTTTCTGGTGTTAAGGTTCACTTTCAGAATAAAGGTGTTGGCCTATAAGAAGGGGTTTTAAGAGCCTCATTCATGGTAAACACAGCCATGTCTTTCCTAAATACTCTTCGGCTCTGTCCTTTAGGTTCGATCACTGTTTTGGAACAAGGTCCTTGGTTGGGTCAGAGGCCAAGCGCCTGGAGAAGCTTCGACAGCTTTGTTTTGAATCTCTTAGGTCTTCATGGTCTTTTCTGTCTCCACAGCTGGACACGGAGTATAGAAAAAAGTGGGATGCCTTAGTCATCAAGCTGGAAGTGATCGAGAGGGACGTGGTCAGTGGTTCCGAGGTCCTTCACTGGGTAACCCATTTTCCTGTGAGTGTTTTTACTCCTGCTTTTCCTTCTGTCACATCCTCGTGAAACTGAGTAATAACGTTGGCCTTCCTTTTCCTCAGTATCCGATGTACTCACGGGATTATGTATATGTCCGGCGGTACAGCGTGGATCAGGAAAACAATGTGATGGTGTTGGTGTCGCGGTATGTGCCATTACCTGGGGCTCCTGCTCATCCCATCAGCTGGGTTCTTCATGCATGCTGTCTGCATCTGCAGCGGGTTTGCATGTTCTTGGGGCCCTTATGGTGAAGCCCGGGCCCCACCTGTCTCAGCCAGAATTTGAGATGGAAGGGATACATGCTTTTCTTTAAACCATTTCTTCAGTTTCTTAGTGTTGATAATTTTAAAAAGAAGTGCTCTGTCTTCAGCACAGCCCAGTGAGCCAGATTTCACCAAGGAGCACGCCTTGGTTTTAGAACTTGGCTTGTGTTCATTCGTCTCAGTGACTCCTGTGTTACATTTTAAATATTAGAGCCAGCTAGTTAGCTTTTCCTGTTAGTCTTAGTGCCTGTGCTGCTATGTGCAGACATCATGCAGCTGCCTTACCTCTTCCCCTCACTAGAGCTGTGGAGCACCCCAGTGTGCCAGAGTCCCCGGAGTTCGTGCGGGTCCGGTCCTATGAGTCCCAAATGGTTATCCGTCCCCACAAGTCATTCGACGAGGTAAGTTTCACATCATTGAAGAGGTGACATGGATTACCAGGGACGCTTTTCTTTTTCTTTGCATTGGGGAGGCAGTGGGTCTCAGGACCCACTGGAGCTTCTAGAATCACCATGCTAGGCTGTGGGCTGAGCGCTTGCATTTTTAGGAGTCCCCAGTGAGACAGAGGCTGGGGGTCTGGGAACCACACTTCGGGAGCCTCTACTGTGGGCTGGTGTACCTGGGGGACCCCTAGGAAGAAGTCCCATGTAGCTGAGGGACAGTCAAAGAAGGTGATGGCTTGGTGTGGCAGCATTCTTTAGGTTTTAGAGCGAGTCCTTTTTCCATCAGAATGTCACTGCAGTGACACAGTTTTTCTGGACTTTTTTCCTCGTCTGTAAGATGAAAGCCTTAGACCAGAATTCTCTGCCTTCTTTAAAATTCTGTGACCTTTCTTTGAAAGTATTTTCTTCAACTTAGGCGTTTGTTTTTGCTTTTTTGGCCAGATCTCTGTTAAGTGTACATATTGATTCCAGTGCTTGCTGTTTTTAGTTCTATTTCACTTTATAATGGTATTTTTTTTTCTTTCTGTCACTATTGTTATGTTTTAGAGCTATATGAACTGTGTTCTTCAGGTGTTCTGCTTTTTCATCTAGTTGTTGTGTTTATACTGCCTGAGTGGTATATTAAATATGACAGAAAAGTGGTGGTTCGCCTCAGTGTGGTATTTGGCTCTCTTTTACTGGGAAATTTTTTTTTTTCCTTTTTTTGTTTTGGTATTTACTTCTGTACCATGTTTAGAGCAGTATTTTTCAAACCATGGATTGCTACCCATTAATGGGAGACAAAATTAATTTGGTGCATTATGACCAGCTTTAAAAAAAAGGAAAACAGTAAGAGAGAGAAGCTATCAGAATATAAGTGTATTTCCTGGGATTTTTATTTGGTTACATAAGTATGTAGGAATGAATGTGTGTCTATGAGAGAGAGAAACAGTTGCAATGTAAAAGAGATTATTTACAGTGTGCTATATTTAAAAATGTTTGTAAGTCCTCGCTTTAGAGGAAAGGAAAGAAGTAAGGCTGCTGTCATGGCTAATTACCTTTGGGAAGGGGAGCCTGGGTCAGGCTGGGGACAGTGTGGGAGGCAGATGTATGCTTCACTCTCCTCCTTTATGGGGCTTTTCAAATTTTAACCTGTCCTCCATGTATTTCCTATTTGAAAAAAAGTGACTTGGGTTCCAGCATTGAGTTCCTGCCTTCAGAAACCATGAGCATGAGGCAGGCAGGCATAGTTTAGCTCCTAGCAGTATGTGGTGCATCTAGTAGGTACCTGCTAAGTAACTTCTCTAGCTTGGGGTGGGGGAATACTGGGAATTCTCTGTATCATTCTTTCAGTATATTTGTGGCAAGCTCTTAGGAAAAAGGTAGGGCTTGTAAAAAGGCAGGCAAACTACAGATGGAGGAAAACAGAAAGGCCCTGGAGGGAGAAGACATGACTCAGCAAAGACAAAGAATCCCAGTGCTCCGAGACTACTTGGAAAGGTGCTTGGGGAGGAGTGACCAGTGACATTGACCCGCACTGAGGACACTGAGAGGCAGCTGAGTTTGGACTTGGCTGATGGGAAGTAGATCATTGAGCCAAGGTGTGGTGTTTCATTTGTCTTACTTTTTATTATGGAAAATTTGAAATGTATGCCAAAGATAAAGAATTAGTGAGAACCCGGTGTATCCATCCCAGCTGCAACAGTGATCAACTCATGGCCAAACTCTGTACCTGTTCCTATTCCCTTCCCCAAATCCTAGCTTTGCTACAGAGGAACCCATGGATGAATTCTGTAGGCTGTTCAGTATTTATCTCAAAAAGAGGTTTTTTAAAACATAATCTCAGTATCATAATGACCCTTACTATCAAATAGTCAGTGTTAGATTTTCCTGATTGTCCATAATTTTTTTGTAGTTGGTTTATTTGAGTCAGGATCCAAATGAGACCCAGACTGCAGTTTGTTCACCCTCTATCTTGAGTCTTGAAATCAATGCCTCCGTTTTTCCCTGGTGGTTGTAGTTGTTGAGGAGCAAGGTTCTTTGTCTTGCTGACCGTCCCTGTAGTGTCATTTTACATGCTCCTCTGTCCTCTACTGAGGAAAAGGAAGGCCAACGTTATTGCTCTGTATTTCCTGGATATGTATTGGTAGGTAGATCCAGAGGCTCGAACAGATTCAGGTTATTTGTTTAGGGCCAAGACCACTTTATTAGAAGGCTACTGGTGACTGATTGTCCCTTTTGTTGTGAATTTAGAAATGATTGAGGATCATTGCTCTGATTCATCGTTTCATTAGGATTACAAAATGCTGATTTTGTAATTCCTTCATTCATTCTTTATTTATTTTCATTTATTAGTGGAAATACTTTAGCTATTTGGTTTCATCAGCTATTTGGTGTCCTATAGTTTACACAGGAGAGGGAAATAAGAGAAATGCTTAATTTGTTTCCTTTATATTATGGTTTTCAAAATAATGAATTGGTTCTTTCAACTGGGGTTTCTCCAGAGGTAAAGTTTTTTCTTTATTTTTCTAATGCCATTAAAAACTCACAGATTTACCCATATGTAGTTAGCTTTGGTTCATTATTAATTACATTTATCCTTATAGATGCTCACATTGCCCCATGTTTGGCCTTTGGGAGCCTGTCTCACTGGCCTGAGTCCTTGGACTTGACCTCAGGAGCGCTCTTTTTTTTCTGGTGTTATAGAATGTCCCAGCTCCACCTTGTGTAGTATAAACTCTAAACCTGGGACATTAGCATTTCTTCAGGGAGCCCTAGGTGCTCTTAAGGAAGCATCATTTAAGTACCACCATTTGTCCTTGGGATCGCTCAGAGCCACTGGCCTGCTCATTGTTTTTAGGCCTTTTCAGAATAAATAAATTCTAAGTGCATACTAATATTTAGGATATGATGATTCAAATTCAGGACAGTAGAGTTTTTATGTATATTTTATATCTTACATCTGTCCTCTTTCTCTGTGATGAAAAATTCAGTTCTCAACTCATCGCCGTCAACATAATTACTCATTTGCTTTTACCTAGAACACACACACCACCAGCCTCAGAGCAGTAATACCAACAAGATCAGTAATGTGATGACAAGAAGTTTGTGTTTCTACCATCACATAAGACATATTCAGAGTAATTTGGCTCATACTCCTATTTCTTTTACCCTGTTCCTTCCTTTTTCACAGAGGTATCTATTGTTTTGGTTTTGGCTTCCTTTTTTAACATAAGTAGTGGATGAGAACCCAGTTCTTTTGACTTCCCAGTCTAGGGTGTTTTTTTTTTTTTGAGAAGAATAGTCTTTTACATGTATTTAACCCATTTATCCTATCGCCAGCCTTGGTGGTGAGTGCCTTTCCCGTGTCCTGGCTTTACTTCCCCTTCCTCTTTCCTTCCATAGTATTCCATCTGTTGCTTGTTTATGGTATTCATTTATCCCAATTGGAAGCACCCGAGGGCAAGGACTCGTGCCAGGCAAATAGCAAACATTCAAACATAATTCAACAGTTCACTCAGGGAAAAAGAAGATAGATTTCAATATAAAGACACAAGAGTTTAAAGTCTAGATCTGCCACCTGACGTTGCGGCCAGTCTGCCTCAAGAAGTGCAGACACACATGTCCCCTTTGGTTGGGACATATGTGGCTCAGATGTCTCCTAGGGCCAGGACACCTGTGCCTCTCCTTATCCCCGTACGCCACTGTGTCAGCAGCGAGAGAGCTGAGCCAGAGAGAGTGGGTGTGTGGGCCCTGCGCCTAGAGTCCTTGGCTTGTCTTGGCTCTCGAGGAGTACAGGGGGCAACCTTGGGGACATTACCTAACCCCTGCTGAGTTTCCTGACAGAGCTTGCCTGCTGGGGTTGTTGTCGGGCCGAAGCAGTTCCTGCCACAGAGTTAAGCGCTATGTAAAACGTTTGCTGCTCGTAGCAGTAGAGTTAATACCATTTTGGTACAGATTAAGGTCTATAAACATCAGGGGTATGTGTTGGGGTCCCCAGGACCACCCCTGCTTTCGGAGATTGACGAGAAGGGCTCATAGGCAGACTCAGCACATAGTTGTCCTCACGGCTAAGATCTAGTGCAGTTGTGTAGCAAGGACAGCGGGTCATGAGAGGAAGACAGGTGGAGTCTGGAGGGGCCCACATGTAGGCCTCCTGTGCTCTCTTTGCCACGAGAGCTGCCGAAAGCACATTCTTCTCCCAGTGACAGAAGTGCCCAGAGAAGCCTGTCAGAGCCTAAGCCCTGAGATTCTTTCCGGGGTTGGTCATGTAGGCACCCTCTGCCCAGCACATGCCCACACTGTAGAGCCCCAGAGGGAGTCAGGGCCTGGGGAGCTGCCTCGGCAGTCTGTGGAGAACACTCAGAGCCAGGCTCCCAGACCAGCCGAGGACCAGCCTTGCAGCGAGCTGCCTGCAGGTGTCAGCTCCCATGCCCGGGACTTGGGTCATCCTTACCTTGTGGGCTGGAGGCTGTGGTGCATGGGCCAGGTGCCCTCACTTCCCTGTTCTTCTTTTCCAGAATGGCTTTGACTACTTGTTGACATACAGTGACAATCCCCAGACCGTGTTCCCTCGCTACTGTGTTAGTTGGATGGTTTCCAGCGGTGAGTGGGCGCGCACAGGCCCAGGAGCCTGGGTTGAGGGGCATTTTGTTTTTCTTGAGCTTCTTAACAGCAGCAAGAAGGTTAGTGCTTGTCTCACCAGAGCCCTCTGGGGACGTTAAACGTCCTTCCCAGCTGGTGCTTGAACACTGCGAAGGAAACTCCCAGCGGGGGTTGGAATGATGGGAAGTATGGATCCCAGAAAGGAACTTGTGCGCAGAGAGGAGTTTTAAGAAGAACATCTGCTTAATGCCTTAAATATGGATGGTGGATGTTGATGCACTTACATTTTCTCCTTGGATAGTGTTGGCGGCCATAAATCTGCCATAGTAGGCATAAATCTGGGAGTAGGACAGTCACCTGGAGAAAGGGGCAGCGCCTGTCCTAAGAAAGGCCACGTGTCATGCTGTATGCACTTTTCCCTTCTAGCCCTTTGCCTCAGCAAGCACCCTGATGTGATTTTCTTCTAGCAGCTTCTTGTACTTCAGGGGGAGAATGGAGAGGAGATGAGGTGTTTCTGTGTGACATTTGTCTAAATAAGATTGACAGATATGTAGGCTGTGCCACTGATCAGTGATGTTTTCATCACCTGAAGGAGCATGTGGGACTCGCGTAGCCTGAGCGGGAGCCCTTTTTAAAGGCTTTCGAGGTCACGGATTGTTTTCATTCTCTAGACACTGAGCGGCAGCTGCCACTGAGGCTGTGATTTCTGTGAGGAGGGGTGGGCTCTCTCATGAAGGAAATAAGGCCTTCTGATTCTGAGCCCAGTGCTGGTTTGTCTGCCAGCCTGCTCACATTTCCCTCTCCCACAGGCATGCCAGATTTCCTGGAGAAGCTGCACACGGCCACTCTGAAAGCCAAAAACATGGAGATCAAAGTCAAGGACTACATCTCATCTAAGCCGCTGGAGATGGGCAGTGAAGCCAAGGCCACCAGCCCGTCTCCTGAGCGGAAGGGCGAGGGCAGCCGCAGCCCTCCTCGGATCGAGTATGCGTGAAGGCTTTGGGGTGAGAAGGGACAGGCTGCTCCTAGCCTTGCCCCGGTCCCTCACCCTCTGCCACAGAACGGGAACACGTATTACAAGGTGTCTGCTGTAACCACCAGTGCAAGATAATTCAGTAACTGCTGTCTGGTTTCATTCAGAGCCTTTGTTGCTCTTTATCAAAACAGAAGGAGGAGGCTTCTGTGGGGCGTTGTCACATTCTCAGGCCAGGCATTTTGCAATTCAGTATTTCACTGAGCGAATCTGGAACAAAGCTGACCTCAGGCCAGAAGGAGACAGCTTGTTTTGCTTCCCTGAGTAGTTCCTCTGCCCACATTCCAGTTCCCACCATTGGATCTGAGCACTGGGACTCCTCCACCTCCAGGTTGGACTGGGAAGGGCAGTCACCAGTTGATGGTTTGGTGAGGGGTCTTTGGGAGTGCTCTTGGCACAGTCCTAGTGTTGCATGGATGTGAACTGCTGTGTGGCCATGTAAGTGCCTTGTCCTCACCTTGCTCCTGCCTTTAGGAACATAAAGTCTGCACCAAGAAATTTCTCTCTTCGCCTCTCAGATATCACCCCTTCGACTGTCCACGGCCGCTCTTGTTGGTGGGCCTGTCCTTTGTCAGGCTGGGCATCTCCGTCCTCGGCTGTTTACCAAGAGCCCTGGGAAGCGAATCCTTTTAGAGAGTAGTGTTCTCTGTCATCAGTGTTTTGATAGGGTCAGTGGAGATGCTCAAAACATCACACCATTTTTTTTTTTTTTAATCTTCATGTCAAAAAGTAGGAATTGGGGAGTTAAATAGAATTTCTGCACAGTCCGCTGTCCAGAAAACCCCACTTTGATTCAGGCATTTTCTACACAGGTTTGACTGGATGCTGAGGACCCATCCTCCTGGAATGGCTAAAGGCAGAGGAGGTGCATTTCGCTCCCCAACACTGGTCTAATGGGATGTGGTTTACATGGCCCTCTTGTTCTTCTGGAAGTTCCTTCTCTTCAGATATAAAATAAAAGCGAACTACGTTGTTCAGACGAAGTCACAATCTGATGGTGTCACTTTGGCCTCGCTGATTCGGCTTTTGGTCATGCTGCCATCTGACAGGAGACCGAGATCAAGTTTTAAATCCTCTTGCCTCCCTTTTTTTCCTTGAATGACTAGATTTTCCTTTTTTTTTTTTCCTACTTGGATCTAACCCTGAGACTAACATAAGCCACTTGACTTTTTTATTGCCTGTGAAGTTTTGTGCCAAGGAAATGACCAGTGTTTCTTGTCCTGTCTTCTCTGAGTCGTTGGCAGGGTACAGGTGCGTCCAGCAACCCCAGCTTCTTCCTTTGGTCGTTTCTCTTCTGAGGACCTGACAAGCCAGCGGGGAGGCCCTGGGTTACATCTGAGCTGAGGGCCTGTGACCGTTGGGTATGGGTGAGAGGGCGTGTGAGTGCACAGGTGCCACCGAGGCTTGTTGCTGCTCATGTTCTGATTTGGGGGAATTGACTGTGCTCTTGGGGTCTGTCTGTATAGTTACTGATATCATCATAATGATTTCACTTCTAACTGTGACATTTTTATCAAACGTGTGAATAAATACATATTGGTACAAAAGAGTGTTTGTTTTTAGACACATGGGGGTGGGGAACCCTCGCATAGTGCTCTTATTGCTTCTCTCTGATCACAAAGCGTGAGAAGGGTGTTTCTGCTTGTGGGACCAGTGTGGCAGGGGCTGGCTCTGTCCTTCCTGGTGTGGCTGACATAACCACCTGTCTTGTCTAGACAGCCCTTTCTGGGTGACCAGTGGGCAGCTAAAAACAAGCCATCTGTTTCTACTTTCTTGTCCTGATCTCCTAAGCCATGTCTTTTGCTTTTAAAGTAGGAACAATGCGGAGAAAATGGTGGCAGAGCTTCTCATAAAACGTGGAAGGGAGCTGTGGCGGTGGGGAGGGAACTCGAGCAGGCCCAGGTCTGGAGTTGGGGGGGGCACTTCAGGACCCCACTGAGGGGGCAGTGACGGGCTCAAACGTGCTTGGCCTGTGGGTGGCAGGGTCACACAGGCAGTTCTGCTAGGGTGCAGATCCATTCCAAGAGGACTGAGATGACCATAGTGGGAATTTAGAACTTGTGCAGTTTTGCCTATGGGAAATAGGGTGAAGGCTGGCACACACCCACACTCTTTGCAGCCCTCTTCCAAGTGTCTCTGAGGTAGTCACTGGAGAGACACCTGTCCTTGCAGACTCTTTGTCAGGCACACACGTGTCTGTCTAAACTAAATTTGGAGAGCTGGCTCTTGGCCTTGCCCCTGCCACAGAGGCCACTGCACAGCGCCCCTGGCATGGTCCCCAGGCTCCGTGAAACTGACAAGGAGCAGCTGAGCTTACCTAGAGCAACGTGCCTGGTGCCTGGCAGCTCTGACTCCAGAGCTTCAGTGAGGCTTGGACTCACCTCCCACCTCTGAGCAGCAGAGGTGGCTCAGCTTTCCCAGGCTTTGTCACCAGTAGCTGCAGAAGGCCCCCTGCTTCTTGTCTGGAAAATTTTCGTATATTGAAAAGCTGGAAATAATAAGCCTGCGGACCCTCCTGCCCTTGTGGGGAGTCAACAACTTGCTGTAGTTTGTGCTTTACCTTCTTTACATAAACTTCACTGCAGACTGAACTGTGTCCCCTTAACGTGCATACTTTGGAGGCGACTGGGATTAGGTGGATCTGAGGGTACGGTCCCCACAATGGGATTAGTACCCCTGTAAGAAGTGACACCAGAGGCTGGCTTGTTCCCTCTGCCACGTGAGGACACAGAAGGAGCTGTCGGCAAGCTTCAGAGGGGAGGGCACTCACCAGGAATCAGCCAGCACCTCCACCTTGGACTTTTAGCCTCTAGAAATATGAGATAAATTTCTGTTATTTAGGTCTGTTTTGTTATGGCATGCTTTTTCATGAGGATCTGAAAGGTGCAAATGTGATACTTCATCCCTGAACTTTTGAGCATGCTTTTTATACCAAGAATGTTCTGTATAACCACGGTGCCATTTGCACAGGTAAATAGTACCTAGTAATTTACTCCACATTCAAATTTCTCCAGTTGCTCCCCCAAAGGACTTTTCTAGCATCAATCCAGGGTCCAGTTAAATATCCCGTGTTGCATCTGTGGCTCTAGTACATATAGCAGCTAAGTAGCCAAGTCAAGTGTAGCTTTACGGGTTGGGCAGTGGTTCTCAAACACATTAGAACTGCTAGGGGGTGAAGTGCACAATGTTAATGCAATCAGAAGGGCACAAGATGGGCAACACCCTCCCTTGATCTGCGAACTGCCAACACAAGGTGTCGTTAATTTGTCACCAGTCTTGTTGCACTGTCGGCTCACGTTCTTGGTGGTCAGATAACTGCCTCCATTACTAGACACTTGCCAGGCTGGATGCCACACTTCATGCTTTCAGGCAGGACTTCATCTCATCCTGCCACAGCCCTGGGACAATGTAGCTGTCCCTGTTTTAAAGGTGTGGAAGTAGCATCTGAGGTTAAGTAATTTTCTTGCTCCAAGTCACAGGAAGTGGGAGCCAGGACGCAGACCCGGCTTTGACCTCTTCAAAGGCACCTCTGTGGCTTCAGACTCAGTTTAGTTTCTCACAAATGCTGCAAATTCCTTCCCAGGGTGGTTGACTTATTTTGGAATCTGGGTCACAAGTGTCCTTTTTATCCATTGTTAGCTTTTGTGTGGTTTTGCCTCCTCCTACCCCTTATTCTATCATGTGATTGTCAGTTGTTTCGTGGTGCTCTCAGGAGTAATGGAAACATAAATATTACTTTTCTGGAACCTTTGGGATGTACACCACTACTGTGACACAGGGACAGGGTGGTATTCATGGGGACATCTTGAGATAGCATTTTCTAAAAGTACAAGTTACAAAATAACCTGTCTCTGTACCCAACACAGTAGGACAGGAGTCTGGAAATCCTTTTGAAAATGAAAATATTCTTCGTAAAACTGAGAACTCTGATTTCTAATGAATAAACTTGAAAGTTTAAAAAATTTAAAACTATAGCACATGGATGGAAGTGACCTGAATGTAAAATGTGCTTGTTTCCACAAACCTCAGTGGACACTTGATAGAGCATCGTTCTTCACAGAATCCCCGGGCCGCACATTGTCACAGTTGCTTTACAGGCTTATGGTTGATTTTGGTCCATAAATGCACTTTAAAAAAATTTTCAAGCACGTAATTTATAAATGACCTAACTATTGTCTACTTTTAAAGGGCCGAACCATACCTAAAAAGGCAGAATGACTGTATGAAAGTAGTCATGTTTGCATGTTTTAATGGTTAATGCTTTTTATTGTATCTTAAAACCTTGCTGAACATATGCGTTAGGACTGTGTTCAGCCACAATATGGCCCCTGATATTCTCTGATGAGTTCTGTGTGGTCCTGTCTCCTTCCCACCCGGCTGGAGTCACTGTTATATCAGGATCTCTAGGGAGAGACTCCAGCGCTGTTCTATTTCTGGATATACTGTGGCTTGTCAAGGCTTTTCTGAAAATGGGGAGCCCAGGGCTGGACTTGGCTCTGCCCCTGGCAGGTGAACTCTGTGAGGACGGGGGCCGTGTTTGCTCACTGCCTCGGTGTCTCATGGGGTTGCTCCACCTCCAGCCATGACGTCTGGTCTGCCAGTGGGAAGGAGCAAAGGGGAAAAGAGAAGTCCCTCCCCTAGGACACTTCCAGAATGGCGTACCATTTCTACTTACTGCCCAGGTGCCAGAACGCTGTCAAAGGCCATACCCAGCTGCTGAGAAAGTCTGTACCTCGAGCAGCCATGTGCCCAGGTAAAATTAGTTTTGCTGAGGCAGTACAGAATGGGAATGAGGACAACTGGCAGGCGCTTTGCTGAATCATAGCTAACATGTACCTACAGCTTTAAATGCATCACTTCAAAGACTGAAAAAGGCAAAAAATCCCAGTAGATACTGTGGGTTTGCTGGGGCTGCTATGACAAAGCACCATGATCTGAGAGGCTTGCACAGAAACACATCGTCTCCCAGCTCTGGAGACTGGAAGTCTGGGACCAGGTGAGGTGGAGAGTTCCTTCTGAGGCTGCGAGGGAGGGTCTATCCAGGCCTCTTTGAACTCTTGGGGGGTCGGTGGCATCTTTGGTATTTCTTGGCTTGTGGACGTGTCACCCTGTCTCTGCCTCCGTGTTCACATGGCCTTCTCCCTGTGTGCCTGTGTCCAAATGCCCCCTATTTGTAGGGACACTGGTTGCATCGAATTAGAGGCTCACTCTATTCCCGTGTCATCTCGAGCTAACTAATGACATCTGTAGTGATCTGTTTCCAGTAAGGTCACATCCTGTCGTCCTGGGGTTAGGCCTTCAGCATATGGATTTTGAGGGCACACCATTCAATGCCCAGCAAGGGGAGAACTCAGAGAACACAACTGTAGAACGGCCTTTTTAATTTTTTTAGTTTCAAGTATGCAGTACATTGGTTAGACATTTATATAGTTTATAAAACGATCCCTCTGATTGCTCTTTCTCTAGCTGGCTCTCCATCCAGCCATTACATTAATGCTAACTGCATTCCATATGCTGTGCTCTCCACCCCATGACCATCTATCAACTACTAATTTGTACTTCTTTAACCCTTCAACCCATTCTCCCAGCCCTCCAATCCCCCTCCCCTCTGGCTGTCACCAGATTATCTTCTATATTTGTGAGTCTGTTTTTGATTGTTCTTTTTGTTCCTTAGATTCTCCATATAAGTGAAATCATATGGTATTTATCACTTTCTGTCTGACTTATTTCACTCAGCATAATAACCTCTAGGTCCATCCATGTTGTTACAAATGGTGGGATTTCATTTTTTTTAATGCTGAGTAATATTCCATATATATATGAACCATAACTTCTTTATCCAATCATCTGTTGATGGGCATTCAGGTTGCGATCATATCTTGCTACTGTAAATTGTGCTGCCATGAACATAGGAGTGCATAGATCTTTATGAATTATTGTTTAGGTTTTCTTTGGATAAATACCCAGAAGTGCAGAACGGTCTTTCAAAAGAGATGGCCCCTTAGGAGTCTAGAAAGACGTCTTGGCCTGGTGGGTCTCCTGTCCTGTAGTGTCCGTGTAGCAGCAGCAGGGGGCAGGGCTGCACTGTCTGCAGAGTGACTCCCCAGTCTGCCTGTGCTGCTGGCAGGATGTCACAGCCCATAAAAGCTGAGGGTTATCTGGAGATGAGGAGGCCTCAGTCCTTGCTGCCTCCTCCTTCTCGGCCTTCCTGTTCCTTGTGGCCCAGCCAGTTCCCAGTCTGGGAGGTGGGTCACCCCCAGATCCAGCCAGGACTAGTAGGCTGAGGGGGGGCCTGTTCTCCCTGCTAGTTCTTCCTGCTAGAACTCTCATTTGCCTGTTGTATTTCTACCCCTCTGGGAGAAGGTGCAATGATATTCAGCAAGGAATCACCTGAGGTCCACTGAGCCTGCTGGCTTCCCACAGAATTCTGAAGCCCTGGAGAAATGACACTAACATAGACAGAATGAAAGGAGTGTCACTTCCCTGTGGCAAGGAGGGGGCAGGCCAGTGTGAAGTCACTGACGAACTATGGAACACACCGAAACAT